AGCTGAGTATAAAAATAAAATCAGAAAAAATTTCTGACCATTTTGTATAAATTTATGAGTGACCAAATCTTGGGTCTCCACAACTTCAGGCCAAGAGTGAAACTTTTAGGCCTCTAACTTGGAGGAAAAATTTTTTTAAAATAAACGGACAACGGATCCGTTATCATCGATCATTAAAACCTATTATGGCCAAAAATTAGAAAATTTTCTTCAAAAAAATTTACTTAAAATTTTTCAAAGGGTTACCCCTTATGAAATATTTTGGAAAAATTTAAATCGGCCATAACTTTGTGAGTTTTGCTCTGATTCAAACCAACTTCGAATTATTAAATAGAGAAAAAAATTAGAAATTTTTTGATACTAAAAAATTTCTGAAAAACTTAAGGTTTGGGGGTCTTAGGGTCGATTTTTCGAAAATTCAAAAATTTTCAGTTTTTTCAAAATTTAAAGGGGTATGACAAGTGCAGGTTTCTGATTATATTTTTATTAAATAGAGACTGATTTTATACACAGATTTTCATTTCAATTCTTCGATTAATTACGCATTTATTCCCCATTCAATTTACAATTCAATGTTTCATTCAATTTGAAAATTGGTCCCTATACTGTATGTAAAATCTGAAAATAAACAAGTCTATAGCATTTAAAAAAGACATCATCCGACCAAGGCTATATTTAATCAGACGCATTTGCATCCGAAAAAATCCCTTGATCGGTATTCAAGTCGTATAAACGTATTTTGCGCCCCGACAGACACCCGCACTTGCGTGCTAAGGCTTTAGCAACCTGCTACCAATCATAGTAGAAGGAGAATGCCATATGCTGGGGCTTTTAAACCTTAAAGGTATAAATAAAATTCTCCAACATCGAGAAAATTTTTTTCATTTTCTTTCCTTCCGTACTAGGCAGAACTATCACCATCTTTCGTTTCTAATTCTGGCTCTTCACATACTTAAACGAATTCTAATGGATCCCTGGAAATACTAAGACTCCATAAAGTAAAACCTACTAAAACAAAAAACTTTTCGAATAAAAATTTACTAAAAACAAAAAAATCGACATTTTAACAAAACAAAATATTTTTAAATATTATTCATTCCATGGTTCATCAGGGACATCGTGTAAAATGTTCATCAACAAATTCAGATTTATCTGTCTTTGTTGTTCATCCATGGGGTGCTGAATATAATATTAACGATTAAATAAAAATCAAAATACCATATAGATGGGTCTATAATGAGATCCACTTCGCCTAAGCACAATTACATCAATCATATTAAGTTGGCGCAACACGTCAAAAATTTGACTGTATTCGGTGAATCGAGCAAGACCCTAATTAAATATTATGCAGCCAATGATTAAATATTTACCAAATCAGCAATGTTTATTTCATGATTTCCCAGAAAAATTGCTTCATAAACTCCATCAAGTTCCCGCCATGCATTTCCGACTAATTCTCTCCGGTTTTCCACAATCATTATATTCCTGTTCAGTACAATTTCTGCATATCGAACTTCAAGATGTGAGCCCCATCGTGTATCATCATAATTTGACGAGTGCATCATATGGATGCTATAACGTCTTAAAGAGGCTCTTGGATTAAGCTCATCTAAGAGCAACCCAGCTCTCTGAATATGTTCTGCGTTCCATTCTACCTCATTAACTAATATTGCCACTTCTTCATCTGTAGCTCTCGCAATATCACGCTGATAACTGCGAGCTATTAGTCTTCTAAGAATTTGTTGTTGATCATTTTGTAGATCTTGTTGTTCAGATCCACCATGCAGTGCTCTAATTATAGATCTAAAGAGGCAGTCACCATCTCCAATTACATTATCAAGAAGAGCACGTGGTATATTCAAATTTTCACTATGTGCATTGTCACAAATATTTTCATTATGATTTTCTTGTCGTATACTGTGGCTAGCAGAAGTACGTAGTTGTCTTTTTGCCTAAAACAGAATGATACAAATTAAAAAGTCCAACCTTTTCCAATGAATCCTTATAAAGAAGTTCATCGTTTCTCGATGGTACTACCAAAAATATCTTTGATAATTTAGGCAAATAATCTTCATTTTGCGAAATCCAGCTTAGTAACGATTCAACAATTATTTTTGCTGCTTCTCCTCTAGGATATATCAATGTCCCACAAGGAAAGGACTAAAAATAAAAAATATATTAATAATCTTTTAAAATTACTATTGACGTAAAGTCCTTTTCTCTCATTATATCCAAGGCCTTCGAAAAGCATGCTGTCAAAGCTAATTTATCTTCATTAGTGCAACGACTCCCAATTACTTGTGGAGTAAACATATGAACAATTACTAAAATTCATTCGATACAGCTTTTATAAATAAAAATTTCAATAACAACCTTTGGCAATTTTCTTTAGTTCACCGAAAGTTTCAGTCTGAATTACGTCTCCATAATTCATTATTCCAATATTCTCAATTGTAGTTTGCATTGATTCTAATAGCAGCTCCATTTCTGGTTGACAAGCTCTTAGAATTTCATCATGAACTTTATTTTCCAAATGTGATAGTATTATTGTTGTAATGACATCTGATTCAACTGATGTCAAATGTTTTCGCATGACATTAATTTTAAGCAAATACTCTTTTTTAGCTGTAAAAGGTAAATCAAGCGTTGCACGATTAACTACTTTCGAGTTAGCTACATTTAGTCTCTCAGCATTTTGACAATTTGGAATTCTAACTATAGACACTGGTTCTTCTGTGTCAGATTCAGTAAAGTCTTCTTGTTGAAACATCTGAAAGCATTATATTTATAAAATAATATATCTACTAACCGGATCTGTCCGATCAATAGGACCAATTTCATCAAAATCATCTTTATCGATGATGGCCTGAACGACAGGATTTTTTACACGTCTGTCAGCTCTTTTAGTTAGAATAAGGACATTGTCAACGTCTCGAGCACGAGATAAGGCAACATATAAATGTCCGTGTGAAAAGCATTGAGATGTATTCAAAACAATTCCAACACGCGAAAGCGTTTGGCCTAAATTAAATAGGAATAAAACTACATATTTTTATACCTTGCGCTTTATTAATTGTCATAGCTGCACCTGGACGTAGCGGAAACTGGATTCGTTCACAACGAAGCATTCCTTCTCTTGGTGCTTTTGGATCGCCACCAAATAAAAATCTTGTCCGAAATATTTCAATAAAATTTCCTTTGCTTGATCCAGTTAAGACTCGACAATACAACATATTGCGTCCGAGTCTCAATATTTGGAGTCTTGTACCGTTGCATAAGCCATTTGATACAGATAAATTAATAAGTAGCATCATTACTGCTCCAACTTTTATTCTAAGCGTATGCTCAGGTACTCCAGCAGGTGTTAACCGAATTAAGTTTTCATAATCCACATCAGATATATTATTAACTAATTCATCTTCTGCAGATTCGCTCATAATAGGCGTTGTTATACCATAATAAGTCTGTTCTTGTCCGGAGATTCGATCCTAAATTTTAGCTCATAACATTATTCATATATTCTTACCATAATAATATTATTAATTTCAAATGTCTCATTGTTAAGAGGGCAAAGAATTGCTCGTCCACTTATTTCTTTCCATTGTGATACAGAATTATCTAATAACTCATGTGGAAAAACAAAGTTAATAAGCTCCTCCTTAGAGTTTGTGTGCATCTTAGCCGGTATTCTCACACGATCTTCTTCGTCATTGAGAACTCCTGTTCCTACACACTTAAGGAATTGTCGATATTGCTCTTGTCCTTTTTCAAGGCGTTGATTTTTGTGTAATTTACGAGTTACAAAATTTTTCTCGAATAAGTCCATATTTTTAACCGATGCGTCAAATTGCTGTAAACTATTTCCTCCAACAACAACTGGCATTAATTGTTTCCAGTCACCACCAAGCACGACGCACTAAAAGATATGAATAATTAATGACACAAAATATCTTGGTGTATGGGTTTTATCTCAATCTATACTTATTATCTTATAAAACTTTCTAACAATACTGACAAAGGTCAGTAATTCCTCATTCGCAGGGTTTTAATGGATCACCCTCACTGGCAAAAGCCTAAGGCTACTAACCCAGAACCTTATATCAATTTTACAATCCAACGTGCATTTAAATATTTAAGCTTTTGTCCAAACATTTATCAACATGACGTAAATCTCCAATCATGGAATAAATATAGTAATATGCCGTGCCTTTATTCTAGGCAGCAATTTCACCATCTTTCGTATTCCGAGGAATTCGCTTCAGTTACAGCTGAGTTTCCTTGTATTATCCCTCTGTGTAACCTACTGACACCCACCGCCGCGCGAAGGCTTCCTCTTTGGGGGCAACCCTCCGACTGATATTTCTAAAATATCAGCATCATCGGGCGCTTACCTAACTTAAATTAAAAAATAAAACCAAAAACCGACAAATGATATACTTATTTAAAAATATAACCTTGCCACCAAACGGTGTTGATTGTAAATTTGGAGGAGCAATAGAACGCAACAATCGATCAACAAAATCCAAGACATCGCGATGTTGCATACTCACTTCGTCAATAATGAATCCGTGAATATTTCGCAAAACCTCAGCATACATGCTTTGATACTCAACATTAGGATACGTTGAAGCATCCACATTCCGCTGCCGACACAATCGTTTATGCACTGTCGCACCAGTATGCAACAACTCTGCCGCAATTCCGGTGCTTGCCATTGGTAACACACGGAAGCCACTTGCAAACAATAATTCAATGAGTTTCTAAACTTAATAAATGATATATTCATTATTATCAACTAACATTGTAAGTAAATGTCTTTCCAGATCCACCTTCACCAGTAATGAAAAAGAATCTCGGAATATTTGGTGCAAATTCACGCGATTCCCCATCTATCACATAACGTGCACTCTGCATTCCAGCTTTTATTTCCTCAATAATTGCTTTTTGTTCGTCATTCGGCTGAGGATCGGACAGATAAAGATCAAGATAGTATCTCTGTTTATTTTTTCGTTCATTTTTTTCCAATAAAATAGGATCAACGTTGTTGTTTAGCATTGTATCAGCATCAATTTCAGCCTATATTTTCTTAATAAATTTACATATTAATTTACAACCTGAATTAAAAGTTCTGGTTGTATATTTCTACATGTTGGTCGAGGTAAGCCGATTTTTTCACAGGCTGATTGATATGTATCATCATCACGTTCTAGTTCATCTGGCCTGACACCATTAACCCTTAAAAACCACTCAAGAGCGTTGAGAACATATTCTTTTCTTGCTTCAAAACTTTTTCCAGCAACTCGAGTACCGACAAGCCAGTCTTCTTTAAGTCCCAACACATAATCAAGTAACACTGTGGGGTTTGACAAATTGGCTGATCCAAAAAATAAGGCGAGCCAACGAATTCGCTGTCGAACTCTTTTCTGAGAGCCAAAAGCTTCAGCAATTGTTTCTTTCCAAATATTATCATCATCTAATAAGCCTCGTGCTTTTGCCGCTTCAATAAAATTAAAATACAATTGTCCATTAAATGTTCGTAAATCATCCCAACATGTTGGGTCTTCAACGGTTGTTAATAGAATACGAATAGCCTGAATTAAATTATCTAAAATCTGACAAATAACAAACCAAAAGATCTTTATTTGTTGGCGAAACAGTCCGCATTCTACAAAGTTTCTTTCTCACAACACTTTGGTCTACGTAAAAATTCCATGATTTTTTAATTTTATCATATCTCAAACGTCGATATGCTTTAGCATATGTCAAGCAAAGTCTGGGTTTTCCTTTTTCTTTAAGTTCTCTATTAAACGCAAAATAAGAAGTCAATTGGGTTAGTCGTTCTTCTCCAGCTTCCTTTTGCGCTAATAATCTTTCACCAATTATTTCTTCCTCACCTTCTTGAAAGGCAACTTTATGTCCTTCTGGACCATGAAGATCCAGTTCATCAACCTTTATTGATTATATTTAAAATAATATTGTATAAACCTGATGTGATTTTTTCACTAAAGGCACACCCCAAATCGATAAAAATGCTTCCATTGGTGTTATATATCGAGCCAACCGAATTTGATGAAATTGATCAAATCTCAAAGCATTTCCTTCAAATCCTTCTGCTTGAATTTTTATGAAAGCCATATCGGCTCCTTTCATTGTATATTTACAAATATATTTTACACTTCCATCGCCTGCCACAAGTTCAACGTTGATACTAAATTAAATTACTCAAAATTATCAAAAATAACTTACTGGGCCTTGAATTTAGAAGAAAGAAATGGGCTATAAGGCACTACATTTGTATTCGTAATAAAATGTTGCTGCCCATATCTATCGGTATATGAATGTGTGTTTCCATAAATCAGTGGATCTTTTTTGCGTTCTTCTTCATTTGGGGCTGGAGCCCTTCGTTTATAATCCGGATATGCATTATCCGAATATTTATTGTCATCTGAATATTTTTTCTAAAATAAAATATTACTTAAAACTTAAGAACAACAAACTGGAAAGCGTTGTTTACAACGACCATCTCTTAAACAGCGTTTATCACATTTATGAATATTTGCGCTAACGATAACTCTATAGAGTTCTCGCTGTAACTGAGCCGATTGAGACTGATCACTTTCATTAGGCAAGTCAGGAATTTCAGCACAAATGTACTGATCCATATAGTCTTCTTTTGTGAATATACAGCCTTGTGTACGCATGCGGTCCCAATCAAGAATAACAGCAAAATGCACATGTGGCAGACCGCTAAAAAATATTTGACTTTTAATATATATAAGATACCGTTTTTGATGTTCCAGGCTCCAGAACCAACCCTTAACTGGGCCCATAACTTCACGCTGTGTTAAGTCGCATTGAAGTTCATGTAATTTATCAATAAATAATCTGCAAACTTCCATTGGTCTATCAGCCCATGAATATCCATCAGGTATCATGCGTCTAAGTTCTTCGGCTTCGGGATTCATGGTAAATGTAATTAACAGATCAACAGAACCAATCTCCCTGCATATTGTCATACAATTACCATACTGTTTCTGATAAAATTGAATAGAGCCTCGAAAATGCTCATTCGTCATATATATTTGTCCAATTGGTCCTTTTAAACCTAGATAATCGTTTAAATAGAATGAGTAATAGAAAAACCTTGCTGATCACGTAATTTTTCAAGCCAGTTAAGCAAAGCTCCAGGACGAACAAATCTTGTTCTCCCTTGCAATGTTTTAATATATTGCACTTTCTGGGCTTCCACCCGATTGTTATAGGCAATAACATATAATTGAGCAAGTTGTCCCCAGTTCCATAACCAATGCGAATCTCGCCATGATCCTCTCTGATGGAACATATATCTAATATACTGGGATCTTGAAACCATATCGCGACTATGTTGGCGTGCCTCAAAAACAGGATCCAAAAACTCTTCACCTTCTCCAAGTTCTTCAGATACTTCTACTTCTTCACCTTCATTATCCACAAGTTGATTGGCACGATTCAACTCTTCTCCTGGTCGAAGGTTTAAATTTATTCCATTCTCTAAGAAATAAAATATTATCGTCAAATAAATCTCATACCGAAACCACATTGCCCTTTTGAAAATAATAAAGGAAACAGAGTAGGATCTATATTCCTGTCCCACCAAGACATTTTAACTTGACCGGTTCCTTGACGACCTTTTAGAATAACGTCATAGTGTAACGAGTCTGGTACATTAGCCCCAGTATCCAAATAAATCTGCATAAATTATGAATAGAAATATGCATAGCTTAATATAAAACTTGTGCTATTAGGCGACTTCCAGCAGCTGTTTGCACTTCAAGTCTACCAGGATGAATTCGCCGTAATGCTTGAACATCTTGAGGATCAATATCAATTGGCTGAATTTCATCATCTTGTCGAATACGTTCAACTCCAATTTTATTGGTATCAATAACTAACATTCGGAAATTTATCTGTTCTTCTTCAATTAAATTGCTATAAGTTTCTGAAGCAATGCGATATAATGTAGAAAATGGATGATAGTCACGTAAAATGTTATGCAAAACGATTAACAATTGTTGCTAAAAATATTTTATACGTTTAAAAATGTAGAAAGCTAACGTCTAATTCGACATCGTTTGCAATTTCATTCAATCTATTTGCTGCTTCATTAGCGGGAATTGTAAATAGCTGACCACGTAACAAAGGCTGCTCGCCACCTCCAGGTGGGTTAAAATCCCATAACAAATAGTTGATCATGTTATTACATTTAACGATTTTATGTGACTCAGCAAAATCTCGTTGTCGTTGAATTTGTATGTGGCCAAATGCTAATTGATCATTATAGAGCATTGAATGTTTTAAAATATTATCACGTTGTTCAAATCTTGTCGGATCATTAAAAATGACGAACAATTCAATAGGTATATCTTGCAAAGATGAATACTTTTCAGGCATACTCACACGGCCTTTTGCACAACATTTAGAGAAAGCAGTGTTCCCAACTGCTTCGGATGGTAATAGATTAGCCTTGCAATATTTGCATCGAACATCATCCTATATAAATATATTATATTTTCTTAATATCATTTAACCTTTGGCAAAGAGTCATAATAAATAGGCATATGGTTTGCACCTTTGGCACCACATCCTAATCCAAAATGTGTACGATCACAACGTTGAGTAATTGGGCTAAAAACTGGCCACGACTCCTGAACATCATTTAATCTCGAACTGCATTGTGAAATGCGAGATGATCGTCTTAGCGTTGATGTTGAATTATATGAAACAACCGATTCAGTTATACACTCTTCAACATTTATTTCACGATTCAATTCTTCTTGGGCATTCATTTCAAAATCAAAAGCTGCTTGAGGAACAGGATTAAAATCCTTTCGTGGACGGCCAGATCTAATGACTTTTCTAGGCCTCCCTCCTTTATTGATAGGTTCACTGTTCATTGTCAGATTAACCGATGATTCATCTTAAAATTTATTTTTAATTAAATAGAATTATTTACTCTGAATCTCCAGTAGAAACCGTTTTTGTAACGGTTGCCCATCAGAACGGATAATTAAAGCATTATCTAAGGAGCGTCTCCTTCTATTACAATCTTTGATTTTTTCTCTTCTCTTTCGTACACTACTAACCATTTATAATATATTATAAACTGAAATATATAGTAATAATAAGTATTATTAATATATAATATGAAAAGCGACCCATTTAAAGCCAGGGATGCTTTATATAAGGCTATGTTCCAAGAAATATTATGGAATAAAAAATTCTCGTTCGCAGGGTTTTAATGGATCACCCTCACTGGCTAAAGCCTAAGGCTACTAACCCAGAACCAACATGTCAGTTTTATAATTCAAATTTATTATAAACCGAGCTTTTCTAAAGCTTTTTGGGCAAGCATGTATTAAAAAGCTGGAATTACCGAGGCTGCATTTTCCCCCTTCATGGTATATAAATATGCACTAAAAATCATATATCATGTATCGTACCCGCATCATCCAAGTCGTATCGGTTTCGGCCAGCCGCAGGCACCTGTTCATTAGAGTATCAAGTTACAGTCCAGGACTGAATTATCTTGAAGAGTCTCAGTTTCAGTCCAGGACTGAATTATCTTGAAGAGTCTCAGTTTCAGTCCAGGACTGAAAATATTTTTTACCATTTTTAAATTTGTCTTTCAAAAAATATAAATTTTATATTTCCATTTTTATATTTCCATTTTGTTAAGCCGTTATTTTTAAATTTACAACAAAGGCCTGAGAATTATTCAATCTCTTTTCGAAAATAAACAAGTCTATAGGACATAAAAAAGACAAATCATCCTATCAAGGCTACGTTTCAACTGATTCACCGCATCCGGAAACTCACCTTGACAGGTATTCAAGTCGTATAAACGTTTTTTGCGCCCCGACAGACACCCGCACTTGCGTGCTAGGCCTTAGCAACCAACTACCAATAATAGTAGAAGGAGAATGCCATATGCTGGGGCTTTAACACCTTAATGGTATTAATAAGCAGAATATCAACTATCAGATTCAACGCAAGAATCATTATCTTCATACTTTTTTTTCATCATTTAGTCGATAAATAAAACATCCCTTTTTTAAAGAAATTAGCTTCAGTTACGCCGAGTTTCCTTGTGCCATCCCTCTGTGTAACCTACTAACACCCACCGCCGCGCGAAGGCTTCCTTCGTGGGGGCAACCTCGACCCATTAGGGCTTCACCGGCAAAACTCATGCATACAAACGAAAGGAAGCAGGATCTGGCTGCTCTCAAACAAAATCCTCTGGCACGAGTAGATTATTTGCCTTTCGTTGCATGATGAATTATATTTTTCAACCCTTGCAACACACTATGCATTGAAATTAGAGTTCAAATTATATTCAGTAATATGACGCAAGGAAGCAGGTATCGGCTGCCCTCAGATAGATTAGTTTTTGCCGAACTTAACTATCTGCCTTTTGTCATATTACTTTGGAACCAACTCAGGGTTCAGTTGCACCATGCACCAGTATCCACTTAAAATTTTTTTCAATTCAGCACTGCTGCCATCCTTTAATTTTTTGGAATTCCTCGTTCTAATGCAATGGTTTACTTGCATTACAATTCACATCTTTCGGGTTCACCATCTTTCGGGACAAATAAATATTAAAAATGGGCTGGCGTCCTGAGAGGCTCATTAAGTCTTAAACTCTACAAAAAGAGTCCTAACATGTCACCTCACGTTCAGTCACGGACGAATACAACTGAATCAGCAACACATAGACACCAGTGACAGCCGTTACACAACAAAAGTTGCGATTCAAGTTTGATCATACACAGAGCAATGATCCAGCAGTAGGATCATACACAGAGCAATGATCCTACAGCTACATTGTTACATCACATATAGTAATGATTCAGCAGTAGGTTCACCTAAAGCTGTTTCCAGAGCCAATTCTTTAAAATTTTAGTTATTCTATGCACTAAGACTGATAACAAAGTTAAACACACCCAGAAACAATTGATAGCCGCAGGCATTTCGGGAGGAGGTTCGCGCAATGAGAACGCCAGTGCCGACAATCCATTACAGTATCAGAGCTCCAACGCATTGCTTTGATTGTGTTAACTTTGATATCAGATCTGTTATGAACATGAGCAATCTTTTTAAAGCACTTTTTACGGTTTTACAAGCCGTTTTCTTTATTAATATCATTTCAATTCTAATCGTATATTATTGAGAGGCTCTGATTGTTTTTTCATGCATTCAATTAATAACAATGAACGGTAGATGAAGGTAGGTGCCACTACTTTTACCCACACCTGAATGTTTCCAGAACAAAGTTTCAGGCTGTTCAATGTTATAATAGTTCAAAACCATCGCTCTCCCAATAATTAAATTTTCATGCACTACCATTCACCATTTGATTCAAGTATCACTCTATTGACAAACAGGCTCACATATTTTTAAACAGAACCATGAATAATTGTAGCGGCAACTAACAACTATTCACAACTGATTATACCCGATACGTACAATCAGCCTGTTCTGATATTTTGCTTTAACTCTCTCGGTCAATTGTCAATATTCATGAGTGTTTTTAACTATATTTGAATCTTGTTCGAAATAGGATTAACCGACTTTACAATTAGAATTGATTTCAAGGCTTCTGCAGTGCGCTTTGATTCTCGTGTTCAGTCAAAAAATATTAAAAATGGGCTGGCGTCCAGAGTGGCTCATTAAGTCTTAAACTCTACGAATAGAGTCCTAACGTGTCACCTCATTTTCAGTCACGGACGAATACAACTGAATCAGCAACACATAGACACCAGTGACAGCCGTTACACAACAAAAGTTGCGATTCAAGTTTGATCATTACATAAAGTAATGATCCAGCAGCAGGTTCACCTACAGCTACATTGTTACGACTTTTGTCCGGTTCAAGCCACTGCGATTATATTGGTTTCCATCAAAGTAATTTAAAGAAATTAAATCAACAGTCACCAATTTTCTCGAAATGGCTCAGTCCCGGGCAGCGACGGGCGGTGTGTACAAAGGGCAGGGACGTATTCAACGCGAGATGATGACTCGCATTTACTTGGAATTCCTCGTTCACGGAAAATAATTGCAATTTATAATCCCAATCACGGTAAATTAGCAATTGCTCACACGCCCTTTAGGGGCAGAATATTGCACCGGACCTCTAAGGGTATCACAGACCTGTTATGCTATTTATTTTTATTGCTCTTTAAAGCACAACGATTCGCTGAATCATGAAAAAGCTATCAATCTGTCAATCCTCACAGTGTCCGGTCCGGGTGAGTTTCCCCGTGTTGATATTGCACCGGACCTCTAAGGGTATCACAGACCTGTTATGTTCTTTATTTTTATTGCTCTTTAAAGCACCACGATTCGCTGAATCATGAAAAAGCTATCAATCTGTCAATCCTCACAGTGTCCGGTCCGGGTGAGTTTCCCCGTGTTGAGTCAAATAAAGCCTCAAGCTCCACTCCTAGTGGTGCCCTTCCGTCAATTTCTTTAAGTTTCAGCTTTAGGGACTGTATTAGCTCTAGCATTAATTATCCAAATAGGATTTTCAAGATCAAAAGATCAATTTAACGTTCGCGGCATTTTTATAAAGCATGGCTTTTATTAATAATGCATAGCATTATAAAATATAAAATCGACTTCCTTTTGGAAGACTTTTTATTTTACTTTTTTTATTTTTCATTTCACAAATTTTAGCTTTTGCCATATTTATAATTACACGTATTCCCAAAGGGATTTATTACAAAATTTTTTCAGATCAAGAATTCTAATTCCTCTTCATGTAAACTAAATTTGACCTAAGTTTGATCTTTCCGGAACGATCGTACCGTGATAATCCGCAGGATTTATGATATCTTTAAATCTTGCAACGTCCATAATTCGGTTCATGTTTTACCAAAATGGACAATTTTGGTGTCATTCGACTCAGCTCGAAATGCTCTTTCAAAATAGCTAGTCTTTTTAAAGGTATGATTGAAATTAGCGTTGAAATAATCGGATGAAGATTTAAAATTGATGTAGTTGAAATTTTTTGGGAGAGAATCAATCTGCTTTAGTGATGAATTTATAGGGAGAAATGTTCCAAACAAAAAAGCAGTTGAACATTTAGTTCTGGGAACACTTTTTAAGAAGATACAAGTTCAAAATGCGGACTCAAAAAGTCAACTTTTGAGATCTTGAATTAAAATGCGATTTCGATGGCCTATGTTGTTGAGCGTCACATGAAACCCAGAAAAATATATACTTTGTTAGGAGGCCAATTGATTCTTAGAAAGTTATATGGCAAAATATATTAGTTTTCGAATTTTCGGGAACCTATAACTCAGCCCAATCTAGTCAGATTTTGTTGATTTTGGTGTCATTCGACGCAGCTCGACGAGTACTTTCGAATAAGCTATTAATCCCAATTTCGAATTTTTATTCCAAAAACAGCTTGGTCCCCCCTATTATTTATAATTTTCAGGAGCTTGTAACTCGACTCAATTAAGTCCGATCGTGTTGATTTTGGTGTCATTCGATTCAGCTCAACGAGATCTGTCTAATGAGATATTAATCTCATTTTTGAATTTTTGAAACTGAAAAGAAACAGCCGCGGTAATACCAACGCTGCTAACGTAGCGAATTCTAGCTGCGTGCAAAGAGCTCGTGGTCGAAAAATTCGAAAATGAAATTAATATCTATTTTAATAGATCTCGTCGAGCTGCGTCGAATGACACCAAAATCACCGAAATCTGACTTGATCGAGCAGAGTTACATGCCCCCGAAATTTAAAAACCATAGGGGGGACCAAGCTGATTTTTGGTCTAAAAATTCGAAAATGAGTTAAATAGATCATTCGACAGATCTCGTCGAGCTGCGTCGAATGACACCAAAATCAACGAAATCTGACTTTATCGAGCAGAGTTATATGCCCCCG